CACCCTTGATTTGCACATTAAGGTCACAAGAGTAAAGGGAATGATTACCAACCAAAAGAACCTCATGATTGTTAACCAAGTCTCCTTTTCAGCACGTTAGGAAATGTATAGAGAACAGTATGGAGAATATGTATACTGATACTAGGATTTATAGGGTTAAAAAAGGTTCTAAAAGTTGGTTCCAGTCCTTGGATTTCTTCTATACTTATCACGGCACAAATACGCTAGCACAGGGGTTTGCTTTCATAATCAGAGTTACTCAGCAAATGGTTCAAAACCAGGAGGAACATTCGATCCTATCATCCGCTCATCTGGTGAAAGTAACCTGGAAATAAAAGTAATGTTGTTGGTTTTAGTGACTGATTTTTTGAGGACATGAGGGGAAGTCATCATCTGCATTAAGTTACTTGACTCTGGTTATGACTTCTGCTCAGGTTGTGGGAACATCCACCACTGCTACCATCAACAATCCTTTTCAGGACTCCTCTCCCACACAATCAGACTATGTCATCAGTCAGACTATGGTCACCATTATTTACAGCTTGTTTTCACAAAAACTGTGGTAAAAAAATGTGGGAAGTGAAGTCCTTACTACTTTCATTTGTGGGAATTTGGAATATGTGATACTTTCATCACAGAACACTGTAATTTTCTATGAATTTAAGAGCGTCATGTTTTCCTGTAAAACACTTGTGTCTATATTGTAGGTTGATATAGGTAAATCAAGGATTTCACTGTGTGGTTAACCTTCTTGAGATATCCAGCCTTTGCAGTCAGTATTATACATAGTCAACACTTGTTTTTTTGATCAATATCAACTTGACTCGAATTTAGCTTCTTCAAATTCCTGAAATTCACCCTAACTGGTGCTCATACATTAATTACATTTTTCTTCAATTGTTGCTTGAGAAAAAACGGCCCATGTTGAACTTTGTTGTGTTGTTAAAAAATCTTTAGCTAAAAATACTTATGGATGAGTTATTGCCTTTTTGGTAAATCTATTGTTGAGATTACATAGTAGTGTCTGGGATCAAAATTTTTTAGAGTTTTGAGTTGGAAACAATACCTTCTGTTTGTTTTCTGGTTTATACGAATGATTTTCATTGACCGGCTGGGTCATGTATATTGTTAGTTATCATATCTTGTCTTGTTGTGTTTAATTTAACAAGGAAACAATGAGAATTTGAATGGAGAGAATGAAACCTAAGACAAAGTAAGCCCGTTTCTATTACATGAAGTAAGACGCACGTTTCAAATGATAAGTTTTTGTGTGAAAATTCATAAGTGGGTTGTGGAGTACAACTTGCCATTGACTTCTTATTATGGAGTCGTATACCGTGACAATTCATGGGTTTTGTTTGGACGGACGGTTGAACGTCGGTTTGGACGGATTTACTAGGTGAAGGCGAGTTTTACAACCAACCTACCAGAAAATTCGTGTGATCGACGATAAAAAAGTTGCATCTTTTTGTTAAAATAATTTTAGATAGGAACGTTCTTTAAAGAAAAGGAAAGACATGTTAAAGAAAAGAGGAAGAAAATTCACTTTTAATTTTTTTATGTGGGAGGTTTGTCATTAATTCCTTAATTGCTTGGCTCGTGTCCAAACATCGTGAACGTAAGAATCTTTCATCAATCAATGTTTTGTGCCCATGTAAATGAGTTTTTACCATTTTGCACCTTATGAAACAACACAAAATTGTCTTGAGAAGATACGAAGTGTTTTTGTGTTACAAGATTTTTGATGGATGGATTTGATTAAGGCTTTGCTAAATTTTGTGTCTCAAAACTACTTCCGATGGAAAGCGCATGGCATGTGTTTCGGTACAAGAACCTAATTGAAACAGATATGTCTCAGTGTAACTGAAGAGAAGAAAAGGTTATAAATGAATTATCCTCAGCAAGAAGTTGTACAGTGGGTTCTTGTCATTTGAACTCGGCTTGCACTTAATACGAAAAGTTTTTGACATCGCTAGCGGGAACCCAAAAATGAGAAACCGCAACCAGATGGAACAAACATTTGTTTTTTTTCCGGTTTGGATCAATCAGGATCTTATCACTCGATGGAAAAAAAGGAAAGAGAAGAGAACAAAAAAGCGTTTTAAGTTCATAAAGTACTTACTGTTAGTTGTATCTGTGCTGTGTTAAGTTTTGGTCTACTTGTATAATGTTGTGCTACTTTGATAGTTTCCCTCTTCAGTGAGTAATGTTTAATTTATCTTTTGTTAGACGAAGAAGCTCTACTGAAACTGTACTAAAATTCCCCCCGAAATTCTTATCGAAAAGAGTTAACACTGCGGAAGGAAATTTGTTTAAAACGTGAGATCTAAATGTGACTAGCTACATAGGTAAGTGTTACGTGATGCGCGATGTGTGGTGTGCAAAAGTTTGGTTACTACTGTACTCAAGTTCTAGTAATAAAAAAAGGGACAGGTTCCCTGAACATACCTTTACAATGAAAGAGAGTTAAACAGTAAAAGGAGACTATTGGGGTAGCATGATTTTGATTAATAGCACAATTGGTGGAGGATTTTTTTAAGCTCGCGACCTCATTTAGATTTTGATCTCAAGTAATAAAGCTCTGACTAGAAATTGAAGACGCTTCGTTTGAAGTTCCATTAATTTTAGATACTCCCTAAGTTACGCCGTAATTGAAATTTATAAGTTAGCTTTTGCTCTCCGAGAAAAATGGCTAACCGCTTTGTGTTGGCTTAACTCCTGAGTCGGACGTTCAACGTGTAAAAAGTAGACCAATCACTTTTGCAGAGAGATTTTATTTACAATTAAAGGAAATTGGTTTGCTTATCATAATGCAGTTCGTTGAATGGCTTTCGTTTTTGATTACCTTCGACCCCTTTTACAAACACTTAAAGTCGTGTAGGGTCCGTAATAGACTTCTCGTTAAGGTTTGTTGTTATTATATCCGCTCGAAGCTATGGTTGGCTCGCGGCTTTTTGCTTTCAGCAAAATGTTTGTTTTGAATAATAGATGACTTGTACCTGTTGAGAGTCGATGAAAGACTTGCTTGCAATTGGTGTCGACGGTGGAGGGTTATTTTCCTTGCTTCCGGAAATAGGAAGGGAACGATCTAAAGGGTAATTAATTAACAAAGCCAGGGAGCAGCGCACATAGGTCTTCGTAGTGGTGTTTTGTGACCTACAATATCGTGGAACTTTTCAAGCGTTGTTGCGGTTAGACGAAATCTTCGTGAGAAAGTTACGGCGAAAGAGACTTGAAGCAGGTATCGAAATCAATTTCCCTAAAATTCTTGGCCTTTCCATACTCATGCTCAGGATTTTGAGCCTTTACCTGCTTACATTAAGTACCGTTCTGTAATTTAACGGTTTAAGCAGATGGAAGTGTCTGAAATTTTTAAGGTAATTTCGACAGATAAAGTGAAAGTAATTTCGCTAATAGCTACATGTGTGCGAGATTCTTCAAGGTCTAAGTGTGAAAAATTTCTCGTCAAAATAGTTCTTTTTACTCGAAACGTTTTTTGATGCGATTTGTTATCTCGTTGCTTTGCTCGTGTATGCTGTTGTGTTCGTTGTTCTCAATATCATCAACGTATATTTGCCGCACCTTCACGTTGAAGGGAGTTAGCTTTAGCCGATCGCTTAACAGATAATCCGGCCGATGGTAGTCATGCAAACACATGCAAGGACCTGCGTTTCAAGGAATGATTGTTCGTATCAAGAGCTGAATTTTCACGCCGCTGTTTTGGAGTGCTTTATCGGTTTTTGTGTTTAGGTTGACTCAGTCACTAAGTAGGATCGAGAGCAAGTTCTTTCAATACATCTCGAAACCATCCTCGTCTTTTTTATCGTTTCATCTTGGTTTTTTTTTTTTCAACCACTAGTTCTGTTTGTCTAGGTGCGAAACCTTACTGCTCCGTCCGCCTTCATATTGCTAGGTAAGCGAGCTACCATCCCACGCGATGGATGAACATCCCTGGGTTACTCAGATGGCACAACTTTTTTTTTAAAGAGCATAATAAGTATGCAGTATTCCTATGATGTTGTAGTGTAAATGAAAGTTTTTGGGAGGAAACCGCTTATGAGTGATTAATTGAGAACATGGAAATCACCGAAACCAAAAATGATTGAGCGAAGTACATTGATTAAGAATACGTTTTCCTCGGGGGAACTCTGTGTTCTGGTGACGGGATGAGTCAGGCACTCTTATAAAAATGGTGAGGGAGGTTTTAGGAGCGGCAGTACGAGCAACTACGAGCACCAAGGGTGCGAGTCTCTGGGGAGGTCGGCAGGCATCTCCTTCCGAAAAATCTCTTATATATTTAGCTCTAAAATACCATTCCTTGCCTTTTTTAGATCATGGTTAATAGAAAATGGACAAAGATCCCAAAATTCGACTTCAAAAGAGGTTTTTTATTTCTTTGTACCGCTATAACTTTTTCCTTTAGCGCAGGTTGACACGGAATAATCAGCAAAGCAATCAGTCGCCTAAATTCCTGGAAACTTAAAGTGAGGGCTTGTGTAAACTTGCATTAACTGAGCTAGTTTTCAGTTTATCTAATTAGTTTATCGTTCATTGTTCGTTTTTGATGTGTTATTACTGTTTTTTTGTTGGGCTTTGAACTTCAGCTTTGAACTGAATTTCGTTTTTGGTATTTTGTTCCGTATTAGATTTCGAAATCAAACCAATGATAAGAACTCTGTCAAACCCACTGCCGATGCTTTTAGCTGATATTGTTTTTGAATAACCAGTAAACAGCACTTGAGCGTACACGCACGCGAGCAAGAATTAATGTTGCTTACACGTGTTCACCCACCTAACAAGTTCACGACGGCCAACAGAACCCCTTTGTTTGTACTATGACTTTTTGTGAAGATTATTTTTTTGTACTGTCTGGCGTCACCCTGCCAACTGACTTGGTTGGTGTGGAATTCACGATAAACATTCACCCAAATATGAACAGCAGGCTATATCCACAAATGACCATAGTTACCCATGTTGGTACTGTTTTACAATATATGTCGAGATTGGAGCTGGATTTTTGTCGACAAAATATTTTGTTTTCACATTGAGTGCTTTTTCAGTTGTC